TACTTCTCCAAACTAACTATATATGTAAAATTTTACGTGCGTCTGTTCGCGTAATTCTCTTAAAAAGAGTACAAAGTTTTCACGTATCAATATGACATAAATATTTCTTACTAGCTGTGGCCCGCGACACCGTCGGTCCGGGATTAAAAAAAAGATTCCTAATAGGTTTTCCCGGCAATTATTCGAATTTATCTCATCTTTTAAACCTTCCCTAGACTTTCACGAACATTTCAAGACCAAGATAAGATAAACGCGTTCAGTTGTTTTCGAGTTTTAGCCAGACTAACGAACAGCAATTGATTTATATATATATAGATAAATATGTGTAGTAACCATGGTAACATAGTATACATACCTGACCGTTAGTAAAAGTTTATCTTAATATAGCAATAAAAATATCCAAGTAATAAGGAAAAGCCCCGATGAATTATTTGCGAGCTCTTCTGCGAAGTTGTAAAAGTTATTTGCAAACTTTGACTTACTAAGATTGGCCGAATTTATTTCCCAGTTGGAGGAAAATCATTTTCTAAATTTTTACCGGATATAACCATTCATGTAAAAAGACGATTATTATTGTTGTTAAGCAATTTAATTATAATACTTATACGGGAAGCACGACTCCTTAAAAAAACCGACATGAGAAGATATCTGTAATCATTTATACAGGTGTTAAAAAGTAGTGGAAACCAACGCTAATACGTCGGTATAAGCTTACATATAATTACAGTAACGGCATTATGTAAATGCGCCTTGATGTAGATCGTCTCATTTCCCAGCTCTCCGGTAACGGTCGAACGTTTAAGACTTGATCACTTTATAATATCATGCTTCATTTATCTCACAGGAATTAAAAATAGCACGATAACGGTTGCAAAAATTGCGTCTAATGAGCTGCCTTTTTAAGGGGAGACATACACGAAGAGCTACAATAGGAACTAAGCGTTCCGCGATCAGCAATACACGGGCAGTTAACAGTGGCCGTTAAAAAGCACGCTTAAACAATCCGTGTATGTTGACTCCATTTACCACATCGACGCACATCATTATTAACTACAATTGTATGTTCCTTCGTCTTCTGTCTTAACATTTTTAATACATTGGTTTTTTTTAATGATATAGTTATTTCAAGTTAAGTTTAAATTACAAAAATTAGTAATAACAAGGGAGCGTCGGTGGCTCAGTGGTCAACCACTTGACTTGCAATCTGCAGGTCCTGGGTTCGAATCCCGCCATATACCAATGTGTTTTTCGATTTACATATGTACAATTATCCGACGTTCTTACGGTGAAGGAAAACATCGTGATGCAACCTGCACATATCTGAGAAGAAATTCAAAGATATGTGTGAAGTCAACCAACCCGCACTTGGCCAGCGTGGTTGACTATGGCCTAATCACCCTTAACTTAGGGTAGGCTGCGAGCCCCTCGGTGGGGACGTATAGTGAGCTGATGATGACGCATGATGATGAGTAATAACGAAAAAATAGAGACGGAATCGAGACCATTTCAAGAAAAGTCTAATAAACTAATGTGTAACTATACCAGGAAACAGTATATACTATATGAAGTAATACAACTTAACAAGTTTGTTGGAGTTAATGTTTACTTGGAAAAGGCTTTACATAGTAAAGGGAGACATGGTACGTTAATATTAGGATTGTATCGATGTAGAGTAGTGACGCAGGTGTATTTCCTCCACGCGTACAAGATTAAGAAGATTAAGAGCCATTTAAATATATTACTCGGCCTCTTATACTCACGTAAGAGGCAATAACATTGTATTCATTGGAAGATAAAATCGTAATGTGATACACTTCAAGATTCGATTCTTAGTTTGTAACTTTAAGAACATTTTGTCTTGTTTTAAATTTAAGGTGACATAGATACGATATTATTATTAAATATTATTAAATAATATCGTATCTATGTCACCTTAAATTACATAATTGACATAATTTTAAAACAATCATTAGATTGTTTTAAAATTATGTCTTCATCTAACTGGATATTAGATATATAAACTACTAGCTGTCGCCTGCGACTCCGTCCGCGTGGATATAAAAAAAACTTAATTAGTGTAGCCTATGCGTTCTTTCAGACTATGTTCTATAGGTATGCCAAATTTAATCGAGATCCGTTCAGCCGTTCTAGAGATATCTTCAAACACCCATCCATCCATCCACATTACATCCATCTAAACATTGACATTTTTAATATTAGAAAGTTAAATAAAAAGCAGCTCTCCAAGGCAGACATTCGAAAAAAATAAAATAAACAAAATGAATAAATAGTATCCTATATTCGTCTCCTGGTTCTAAGCTCCTCAACAATTTTCAGCCAAATCGGTAATGCCGTTCTTTAGTTATGAATAGTGTAATTAACACGACTTTCTATTATATATACATACAGATATACATACATAATACGATAAGTACATAAAATTATATAAATTGATTACTATTAAATATATAACACATTGTAATGCAAAACTAGAATGCATTGAGTTGTAAATATTACCATAAAAGTAATAACATAACAACATTTAAACGTTTAAACGATAGCTAAATTCTTATATTATTACTCTATTATGTAATCAAGTTTTTGTAACCGAAATCTTTAATCTGATGTTGATCGTGTATCTAATCCTAGTGATGTAAAATTTAGAACCGCCTAGTCAAAACACAATCATGTATAAATAGAAAAAGGTCATCATCTTTCTCTAAACCCAGTTATCTTATATCTTTAAATGAGCAATTCTTGTATATAGTATATAATTATATAATTGGAATCTCGGAATCGGCTCCAACGATTTTCATAACATTTAGTATATAGGGGGTTTCGGGGGCGATAAATCGATCTAGCTAGGAATCATTTTTAGAAAATGTAATTTTATTCGTGTTTTATCGATAATCAACTTAAATATAAACTTAACTTTTTCTATCGGTAAGATCGGAAAATATTATTCATATTTCATCATTTTCTTAATAATTCATCATCATCATCAGCTCACTATACGTCCCCACCGAGGGGCTCGGAGCCTACCCGAAGTTAAGCGTGACTAGGTCATCCAGGTACTTAGTATTATTGTACAAAGTAATTGTAGTTCATGATGTTTGGTAAGAGAAAGACGAGCAAAAAATCATATTGATTTAATGTACAGGTCCAACATTTTCGTAACCATTACAGTTACGAACATGACAGCAAAATAAGAAGTTTTGAGATTTGGATGTAGAGAAATGTAGTGTGGAAGCTTGTTTTATTATTTGTAACATGAAATACTTTGGTAAAAAACTAGTTATTTAAGTTATTTAGAATAATAAACAGAAAAAAAAAATTGTTTTTGTGTAGTTGTTGCGACAGTGAAAACTTACGATTAACGCTAAGCGAACACTAATTTAAGTGTCTACGTCATCCCACATAAATTACCGTCGCAAACATCTTGTCAAAACACAACGGAACTTTATCGTAATAGAGGCTAGAGGTCAAAGAAATGTTTCTTTGCACACTTACCACGAAATATGAGAATAATATTTCTGAACGCAATCTGTGTCAGGTCATCGCGACAATACAATAGAGGAAGAATTTGGAAATTTCAATGCATATCTTTTATTTTATAGATGTTATCTTGTGTTTGATTTAATAATGAATAACTTCTATTGTTCATAGACGTTAGTAGGTCAGGTTCTAAAAATAATATTAATAATCTTTAAATTTATTTTTACATAATGTTTGGAGAATTAAAATTTAAAAAAAAATCTAGCGGTCGCCCGCGACTCAGTCCGTGCGGAATTAAAAAACTTATTACCCGATGTGTTCTTCCCGTCGATGTTAAGCATGTATGCCACATTTAAGTAGGATCCGTTCAAACGTTCTGGAGATACCTTCAAATAAACATCCATCCATCCAAATATTCGCACTTATTATATTAGTAAGATTTAATTCTGTGAACTCAACGCTAGTTAAGTAAATTGTATTTGCAAAAATAGAATTTAAATAAAAAGAAGTCAGTTAAGTGTTCGAGTGCTGTACGATACGAGTTCTCGTCGTAGTGACAATGACCGCTGCTCCGCGAGTTTAGCTCCACTTTACCGTTCACGCTCGATGCTTTTTACGACTATAATGTAACGCTTTGACGTGAACTTCATAATTCGTGTTAAATAATATCGAGGCAGAGCGAACGAAAAATATTTCTAGTTCCAGAGTGGCTAGAAACTAGTCCTATATGAAATATAAAACTTCTAAAGTAGGCATATTTTACAACTTGAACGTTGTATTTTAAAGTCACGTATTTATCTATTATGATTATCATACAGTGACTAACAAAGAAATACTTTAATTAATTAACAACTTTAAGAATACGATCATTGATCAGAAAATGAGACAATTGTTTTGATCTTATAGATTTTGATCTGCGATGTTGTTCTAATGATAATTTATATATGAAAAAACAAAAGATAGTCATAAAGCTATTTCAACTTCATACGAATATTGAAGAGAAAGTATACTAAAAACGAGTAAACGCCAATCCTTTTATAGCACGGACGTGAATGTTTTTACCTCTTACCAGTTGCAAACATTTTCCTCTTAAAATTTTATGCAGTCGTCACTTTGACTGTATATTATGCGGTGGAGACCAGGCCATAGTAATGCATTAGTGCAATACACAGCTAAGTTCACCCACTTTCCCAAAAGTCCTTTTAGGAAGCATAATAATGAAAATGTGTAAGTGCAGTTTGCTCCGAAACTGGAAAAGGAAACTTTTATGTGATGTTAAAATTTCACCACTTTCAAAATAATATAGTTGTTATTTCGCCTTTGTAACTGGTACTCTTTGAAAACCGTTTTACATATACACAAAAAAAAATCGTAACGACATCTTTAAAGTTACGATATGAATGGTCGCATAAATTAAATTATTGACTAGGTAAAACGTAACGCTTGGACTCGCATCGATTTTTATTTAAGAATATTACGTTTATTAATTTTATTTATGTTCTCAGTTTCAGGTGCCGAGACCGTTGTATGGGCAGGCAAGATGCATGCAATACTGTGGCTGTTGCTTACCGCTGCGGCGGTATGCGGTAACGAAACACAAGAAAGGTAAATATTATCAGTATAAAGCTCTAAAAAATATATTAATCTGTTTATCAGTGATACTTTTAATATATGTTTTGTTTACATTTGTAATACTTGATGTGTTAATAGAGTTACTTTCAATTGATTAATATTAATAAACTTTAATACGAATTATTATAATGTTTCAGGCGCTCCAAACTACCGTACATCGCTGATGCTCTGGGAAATACTCTACCACCGCCTTCAAATTTACCAGCAACAGTTGGAAGTCCAGTTAATTTGTTAACACCTGATAGATATGAATTCTATACTTTTGATGAATCAGGAGAATTGGTTAAAAGACTCATGACCTTGGAAGAAATTCAAGCTATTGTTGCAGCTGGAGAAGATACGGAAGGTTTGGTTACCTTTGCGAACGAAAATCAACCAACGATAGCTTTTAATTTCAGTCAGCCACCCTATACAAAGGTACACAGTGTGGTAACTAATGTTCAAAATGTTTTAAAGGCCCAAATGGAAGCGCATAAGAATAAACCGATCATGCGTCCCACTTTAGATACTCCTGATGTCTCCGACTCGTGGAGTTTAATTTTACCCTCAATTTTTGGGAACACTGGTCTTGATATAACACCGGATAAGACGACTGGATCATATATTACTCCAGAAACTGACACCATAGAATTAGACCCCCAATTTTACGATGACGAATCTCTAAGCAAAGAAGGAAATGGTCAAATAATTGTAAGTTCCACGGAAGCAGCAGTTGAAAATGAGTTGCACATTACAACAAGCACTACGAAAACAAAGTTGACCCAAAAAACGACAGCGTCTACAACGACTTCTAGGTCTCCTTCAACGACACGTATTCCAACTACAAAAAATAGTTTCTCAACTACTATCAAGCCAACGACCACAACAACTCGCAAGCCAATATCAACTACCAATACTACAACAACAATTAAGCCAAGACCAACTACGACTACGACAACTGTCAAGTTAACACCTACAACTTCGGCTACAACTTCAGTAAAGCCTAAGCCTATTACCACCACTACAACAACGGTTAGGCCAAAATCTACAAGCACCACTACAACAACTGTCAAGCCAAGACCTACTATTACAACAACTGTCAAGCCAAGACCCACTACTACAACAACTGTCAAGCCTAGACCCACAACATCCACCACAACAACGACAGTCAAGCCTACTACAAAGCCGGCTTTAATATTATCAAGTACAACCGTAACACCAATCTCAACAACCGTTAAAGAGATAACATCGCCTAGTACAGATAAAACTACAGAAAAGGTGACAGTTGCTACTGATCGATTACAAATCGATTCTCATTATGAACAAATAACTGATAGAGGTGATATCCAATACGAAAAAGTTAGTACGTTTATACCTGTATCAACTTTTACCTATTTACCAGAGCGCACAACAAAGTTGCCTATGCACGCAACAAAAGAGGACACAGCGCAATGGAACGGTGATCTCAAGAATACTTTTACATCTGTTTCAAAATCTCCACCGACCACCACATCGACTTTCGATAGTATGTCGTCAGTAAACGGCCAAGATTTAGAAAAAAATAACTCAACGACTATAACTACTCAGTCTATTTCTCCATCAACTTCTGTAACATACACGCAAAGCACTTCTACTGAACAGTCAATAATACAAAATTACGTGCAACAAAACCATGCAAACGTAAACGCACAAGAGAGTACTACTACCGTTAAAGGCGAACCAATGGGTTCTATGTTTGATGTAGCACAAAGTATGATTCAAATAGCTTCTGATCTTGGCGGCGCACATAGACCTACGTCGTCTTCAAATGATTTGATGGAAAGCACATTGAGTAACGGAGTGAAATTAGAGAGTAAAGAAAATTTAGATATAGACATTCCCTCTGAAGTTGAAAATACTAGCAAAGTTAAAATAGATTTAAACAATAATACTGATAATTATATTAAAATTTCAACTCTAGACCCGCATGATAAAAGGGAAAACACAACGACAGACGTCACCTCTAATGATAAACACACACAAACAACAAGTTCTCCTTTACATGCTTCAATGACCACTTTGGATCCTGTTTTGTCAGAGTCAATGGGTGATTTATTGTCCCAAGTAGTCAACGAAGGGCCGGATAATAAATTTGATGGTGAAAATTTGTCAGAAAATGACGAGAAAATCTCCGTAACTGAAATACCTACTGTAGTAACAACCGAGTACAAGGAAAATACTGAATCAACAACAGAGGTTAATGTTAACGATAGTAATATTCTTATATCATCTGATGCACCTTTTGGTTCAATCTTGAATATTATTAAAAATGAAAGTAAAATAAATGAAACACCAATTGAAAATAGTGAAATAACCGAAAATAAGCAGAACTTCGAAAAGGTTTCTACAATAAACTCAGCTTTGTCCGAAGATAAGTCTACTTTAACAATTTCCGTGTCAGATATTAATTCCAACATAAAGAACGACACATTTCAATTGAGTAGTGAAGATAAAAATGGACCTCAGTTAAATAAAAATGATACTAAATCGGTAAACTCTACGTTGCCTTCGTATAAATCTGAAACAGAAGAATCTCCTGAAGACAAAAATAATAATTTCCATGTTTCAGACAAAAACAGTTTTGATTCTAGCAAAGTAGAAGAAAAAGAATTTATTGGAATAAAACAAAACGAGAAAGTTTCTGGCACAAAAAATCCGCCTAAAACCGAAGATTTTAAAAATAAAATTCAAAAAGTTAATATAGATGATAAAGAGCTAGGCAGTGATCGGAACAATTCATGGAAATTAATACCCACCGTATCTCCAACAAATATCCATGATATGAAAAAAAATCCTAAGGATAAACCTAAAACAGACATTTACAACTTACCAGATAGTAATAGTGATAAAAATATTATATTAGACTTCTCGAAAGAAAATCAAGGCTTAGAACTAACTACTAAAGACCTAAATGAAGATATTGCACAGTTTACTAACCTGTGTAATGAACTAGCTTTCAGATATTGGAACGATTTGGTAGAGACTATGGATACAAAGAGGAGCTTTGTATTTTCTCCTTATGCCGTCACTTCTATGTTGGCTATGATGTTTATGGGTGCGAGAGGCGCGACTTCAGGAGAAATGAATGAAATATTGAAGCTCGATGATATGGTGACATTTAATCCACACTTTACATTAAAAAATATATCTGATTCGATAGAAATGACACCTGCCTCTGGAGTGGCTGTTTCAGCGTTCATAAGAGAACTGTATAGTGATAGAAATAAAGGTAAAATTTTAACGTTTTATAAAGAAAGAGTTCAACATTTCTATAATGGTCATGTTGAGGAGGTTAACTTTAAATTGATCAGTGATATAATACGTAGAAGAACAAATTTACTGGTGAAGAGATATACGTGGGGTAAAATAGTGGAATTTATGAAAACCAACACTATTGTCATGCAACCTCCATTGGCGGCTTTCTCGGCAAATATTTTCCAAGTAAGTAAATATAAATAAATGAACATAAGCTAAGTATATGCGAATAAAACAAAAAAAATATATTAGAAATTCAAATGTAACAGTGAAATCACGAGAAAATACGGAAAATGTAATCTGATTAAATCACACTTTATTTGAATACAGTAGCTTAGATAGTTTATTAATAAGTAAACTTTAAATTTCAGACTGACTGTTTTGGAACTTCCGTCGATGGAAGAGATGGAGAATTGTACTTCGTAGTATCGCCGAACGTGCGGCAACGAAGACTTGTTCCTGTACCAGCTGTCGTATACAAAAACAACTTTTTGGCTGGCTATGACCCAACTCTGGATGCTACGGCTGCCGCTTTAGGAAATATAAATTCAATCGTCAGTACGATATTTGTAATGCCTGGCCAACAAGGCAATATCGTACACGCAGAAGACCTGGAAGAATTAGAGAAACGTTTACTGGGCTCTGATTCCACTACTGATGCTTGGGATCGCTTATTACGTACCCTTCTACCACGAGTCGGTCTTGAACTCCAGATTCCTAGATTTTCTCATAAATCTACATTTAATATTACATCTACCCTTCAAAGAATGGGACTCAAGGATTTGTTTGATGCCGAACACGCTGATTTAGGTGGACTAAACGGACCGTCGAAGGATTTATATTTATCGGACATGATACAATCTAACACGTTTGTTACTTGTGGAGAAAATGTAGTTGGTGAACAGCATCACATAGAGCAATATCCAGAATTACAAAAACGTCGGTCAGCGAGATGGGTGCACGGCTGGGATGAACCAAGAGATTATCAACGAGCTTTCCACGACCCTCATGATGTTGGTGAAGCGATGCATTTGCCGTTACATTTGCGACCAAGACAGGCGCGTCTGCCAGCGAGGAACGCTCAACCGGCGAGATTAAAGTTTGACAGACCATTTTTGTTCTTCGTCAGACATAATCCTACAGGCATGATACTTTATGTAGGTCGATACAATCCGAGGCTGTTGCCATGAAGAGTTTAATTAAAGACTGCTAGTGTAGTGTAGTTAATAATATTCCTTTAAGGAAAGTGATAAGGTTTCATGCTGACGCGTGTGATATACGAAAGAAGTTATTCGATGAGCATTTACGTGACAGTATTAATTATTAGTGTCTTTGTATGCAGTAAAATTGTATATCCATGCATATACTAACTCATGAGAGGATGCTATGAATAATAAAATAAAATAATATTAATTTTAGAATAGTTAATTATCATAAAGAACCGTGTCATCTCACTATCATAATGTTGTCATTATACATTTCATTTTAAATAAATTCAATGTTTCATAAATAGATTTTTATTATTTAGACGTCCTAACAGTGAGTAGGAGACTTTTAGGAGATTTAACCAAGCCATATCAGGTACATTTTTACATTTACCTATATTAAAAGAACTACTTTAATAACAAATAAAATAGCATTTTAATGGTGAATGATATATTAAAATTATTAGTTCTGACTTTATTAGTTACAAACATATAAAAATACAGATCCTTCCTATCTTTAATATATTGATCATTTAAGGTTATACACAAACACACGCGACGATTACCAGGAATTTATTAGTCCGCGTTAATCTTTATATTGTTTCAATTTGTGGATGTACTTAATACTAGCGATTGCCGGCGACTTCGGCGACACCTAATTAAAGAAAAGTAGCCAGCATACATCAGCTACCTTCCAAGTTCCGCCAAAATCAGTCCAGTCGTTCAATTATTATATATCCAATGCAATTTTATTAAAATTTACTTATATATTAGTGTAGAAAATATTTGGCACATCTGTCACTATGATTCTTCAATGACGTGCACTCGTCTTTTATGATCCATTTTGGACACACCTGTAAAAATAATAATTCAAGACAAAATTGCATTTTATTTTGTTTCGTTTTTAATTAAATAATCGTATAAAAACTAGATTACCAAATGCGTTTTGATTATTTTTCCAACAAAATTATTGCGTAATGATGGTATGAAATACTAAATGGTTTTAAGGTAATTAATGTTTTTACATGTTGTTAGGAAGAAAATCCGGAAATGAGCCAGTGTATTGACTCAACACTAGACTTACTAAAATGTCGACGTTTGTGTCCACTCACATTCATTCTGACAATAGACTTTGTAAAGAAAGCACGTCATTCGCGCCAAAGGATTGTAATTAATGTCTAAAAATGTTATGCAGTTAATTATACATAGCTCATGTCTGTTTACTTCTAATGTTTACTAATCAATTAATTTAAATATTATAAATGCGAATATTCAGATGGATGGATGGATGTTTGTTTAAAGGTATCTCCGGAACGGCTGAATAGATCTCGCTGTAATTGCATACATGTAGAACATAGTCTGGAAGAACTTATTTGTTTGTTTTTAATACAGCTAGTAAGAAATATGAGTAAAAAGAATACGGACCAAAAGTCTGTAGATGTCGTTTCTTGTATAAAAAAAACCTATAGCATGAAACTATTGGATGTCAGCACTTTATCCCTTGAATACCTTTAGCCGTTAATTAAAATCATGTTTTCTACTCACTATAGTAGCAACAGTAGCAATGCAAGAGACAAATTGATTAATTTCACAATGTTCATGAGTTTCAGGTATCTGTTTTTCGAGACATCTCGGCTTTCCAATTCGTACTATCGACGCAAAATCTGGATTAGCTTCAGCCCATACATCCATGAAGTGGCTTAAGGCGTCACGGTCTATTCTATCTTCATCCTTAATAAGCTTCAAAGTTTTGAAAATACACAATTGCTTGGTGCACTGGAAATTTTTAAAGGTATTAGAACAAAAATAGAAAAAAAAAATAGCTTTGTCACCACAAAACATAGAACAAATCTTACGTCCGGTAGACCATTTGTGGTATTTTTTTGAAAATTATCCGTCAAATTGCAAAATCCGAAATTCTCATTCGAGAATACGGGTGGTATATCACAGCATTTTCTTGGATTTTTCTATAAACAGAAAGAAAGAATTATTCCTTATGATGCATTGCTTTACGAACACAGATTGCAGTCGCAAAATGCAATCTGACGTTGACAGCTAAAGCAGTCCTTATATGCCTGCCTTAGTGGATAACTTACAATCGATGGAAGCTGTGAGCATTGCTGGGATTCATCTTGAGACGATGCAGGCAGACATAGTGATATTGAAATCTATAAGAAGACGGAAAATTCTTTTAATTCAATTAATAAATGAAAAATTATCAAATTTACACGATACATCAATAACTCAGTCATCAGATTTTCCACCAAGGGAGAGACCACCACTAACGGATATGGTACCTGTCTTAAGTTTTGTTTTGTTAAGTCCTAAGTTTGACTAGGCGTTAGTCAAACCAGTACTGGCTCAGTACGGTCTGACCAGCTGTATGCTAACTTAGCTAATATTTAGATCTTTCGTCTTACGTCTTCCTTTAATTCATGTAATAATTACTTACCTGGTTAGCTAGTAGCAACACTAACATATAAAACAACATTTGCACCACTGATTGCATTATGTTTTGTAAATAAATAATACATAATATCTTATATACTGCTGGGTTTGTTTTAACCTTGGTTTCTGAGACCAAAATCTGTGTATAAAACATATCTCCATTACTATCATTATCTTTGAGACAGAACAAAACAGAGATAACATTATGTTTTAAACGGGGATTTTGGTATCAGAAATCAACGGTTAGAAAACTAGCTTATTTGAAATCAAGAACCGTGTCGATATAAATATGAATATAATTAAATCGTGTTAAAAAACACAATTAATTGTATTTAAAGATGAACCAGTTGCAATAAACTAATAGGTAACAAAGTTAATTATTAACATACTTAAACTCGACAAATCTATATATATAATTCTTCTGTACGTGTGTATGTCACTGAACTTCTCTCAAACGACTGGACCGATTTTGATGAAATTTTTTGTGTATGTTCAAGCGGATCTGGGAATGGTTTAGATTCACAATTTTGTCCGCTGGACAATATTTTTTTAATTAATTTTTAATTTATTAGTAGTTGTTGATATTGGAATGTTTTACATTTGATCCGACAGACGGCGCTACCATCGCAGTGTTAAATTTTAAATAATATTCGAATTAAAGACGTGTAGACAGGACAACGTCTGTCGGGTCCGCTAGTAAATATATATGAATATATTTGTGGAGTTTATCGGAAATATAATTGCAATATATTAACTATATACTTAGTACTATATACTATACTATATACTCTTCAAACCTTACCATATAAAAACAATAATCACTCAACTACAGGGCTACTTAATAGGTGACACATAGCATAATGAAATTAATTAATCTTACTAAGAGTTATATTTAGGGAGACACTTAACCATTTATTTTTGTGATTGAGTAGTCTCTGTTTGCCTTGAAAAGGCATTTACAGCTTCACCGGACTTGAGGTTCCCGAGCGCCGATGGCGCTTAGCCTGAACCTCGTTTACACTTAACCAAAGAGATACCTATTTAAGAACACTTTAGGAGTTGGTTAGTTAAATATTGTTGAATTGGTGGGCATAAACGTATTTTTCTTAACACGAAGACCACGCTTCAAAAATATAATAACACAATAAGTTACAATCTTTTATTAAATAAATACAATAAATAGACAAATTGATAGATAATTTTTAGTTGCATTATGAAAAATATTTAGAACAAGTGTCGATGTGATTCCTCAGTTTTTTGCAATCTTCATCACCAGCCACCCATTTAGGACACTCCTGAAAAGTATAAGAATTAATGAAGATATAACAAAAGGTAAATATTGAATTTAATCTAATCTTACTAATATAACAAATGCGAATGTTTAGATGGATGGATACTAATATCCATCCATCTAAGTACAAGGTATTTCCTGAACAGCTGCATGGATCTCGCTAAAATTTGGCATAGATGTAGAACATAGCCTGGAAGAACACGTAGGCTACTTATCAAGTTTTTTTTAATTCTGCGCAGATGGAGTCGCGGGCGACACCTAGTTTTATTCATATATAGAGAATTTAAATTTCGCAATGTTTAATCAAATCCAGTATTGCACACATTATCAACATTTTAAATTAGATTTTTATCAGTCAAAATTTATTATTATTACGATATTGTCGAAAATTAAATTGTAGTAAATTTTCAGAGGTATTTTTTTATTTTAACCACAACGTTAAAGATAACTCACCGTGAAAAGAACAGAACTAATGCAGAAAACAATTTTATTCGCTTCACAGATTTCTATCGGGCCGGGGACCTCCTGTGCTAGACATTTCGCCTTCGCTGATTCCACAGTCGGCTTGAAATCCGGATTGGCATCAACCCATTTGTCCATGAAACTTATCATGGCCTCGTGATCTACTTTATCGTCGCCCTTAATAAGATTGCGACTCTTCAGTAAGCATAATTGCTTGGAGCACTAAAAAATACATATAGCTTTTAATTAAACTTAAAGACTTTTTTTAAATAATAATAAAGCTTAATTGCCTGTAATTTCACATATATTATTCGTGAAGATTAGAAACGAATCGAGAGTAAAAAAAAACGCCCAAAGCTTGTTAAGCGTTGTAATTCGCTTCATCATACATAGATGGCGTTAACTACAATCTTATTATAAATTAGTTTTATTATCCTTAAAAATAATTGAATCAGATATTTTGTACAGAAATAAGTTTAAACGAATTTTTAACATACAAAATATAAAATATATTTAATGAAACACTTACGTCTGGAGGTCCGTGTCTAGGCTTATCGACATGTTCCTCCTTAAAGCCACAACTTTCAAACTCCTCTTTTGTGAATATTGGTGGAATTTGACAGCATTTTCGTGGATTTTCCTGTTAGTTAAAGAACACTATTTTAATATTTCAGGTCTTTTAATGCAATATTATAATCTCATGTAAATAAAATTAACAAATGTTGTATTTAATCTGGCTTAATATACTACGACTCCCGAGCTTTAAGCACAAGCATTTAGAATAATAACATAAGCCACGCTTATAAAAATATTATTTAGGATTTGCATATTTTTTTATATATCATAAGGTGGCAAGCGAGCGAGCGGCCACCTTAAATCGCTAAAATAGCTACGTACCGTAGCCCACGGACATATGCAATTGCATATGCGTTGCCTACCTTTAATCGACGGAGGAGAGGATGCACAGAAAAACAATATTTTCCCTTTCCATGCATCCTCTCATCCGTAAAGTCCACTTCCGCTTCCCACCCTCTCCTTACAAGAAAATGCGTGGGAAGGAAAGAGGAGTAAATTAGGCCTCCGGGACGCACACTCATTAAACGAAACGCGAAATTGCTTCCACTTCACGCCTGTCTTCTGTGTGGTCGTGGTATTTCACCGGGCGAGCTGGGCCAATTCGTGCAAAGATGTTAAAGCGGGTTGTGTGATGCAATTAGGATTTTATGCAAATTAAAGTTGAAGCTCTTATCCTGTATCCAAATATAAGAAACTCATAAAGGAGCGATTTCATTAATTTTATTTTAAATAATTTCTATATTTAACAAAAAGCATCGTAATTAAATAATAAAATTCTTTAAAAAGACGATGTTATGGTCAAGACAAAACAACTCCAGCATATTTTTGGTTTTTGCAACATAATTTAAAAAAAACTTTTTGTTTTTAAAATACGAATTAATTAACTACGAAACTTAACAGACCGTGGAAATGCTATTATCATCTTGTCGATCATTTTAACATCATGAATTATAACTGTTAATACGTTTATTAAAAGCGAAATATAAATTATAAAACTTATTTCCACAGCTTTAATAAATATTATTATAGTTAGCTCAAAGTTAAATATTTTGAACACAATTAAGTTGCTATATAATACCAAAAAACATTCGGACAACTGAAACTGGCCGATTTTATGGTCAGCTGTGGAAAAAAAAGAGACGATATACAGATTTTATTTTGGTATGTTTAGGAATACATTGGGGATTATCTTACTTCTTATCTTACTTATATTATAAAAGCGAACGTATGGATGGATGGATGTTTCTTAAGAGGTATCTCCAGAACGGCTGCATGAATCTCGCTGAAATTTAGCATAAGTTTAGAATTTTGTCTGGAAGAACACATGTGGGACTAATTAAATTTTCTTTTAATTCCACGCGGGCGGCGTCGCAGGCGACAGCTAGTTAATTATAAAGATTAGATTACTTACGATATGAGGTGGATGTAAACATTCTGACGGTAGATTTGGTGGCAACGGCGGTGGTCCCTGGGATGTTGAAATCTGGAAATATTAAAAAATTTCGTATACATGTTACGGTAAAAACGATTAATATGGATTTTATTGTTTTTCCTGGAATATATAAATTATTAAAATCTAAATTGAACTGAAAAGTAATTATTGTAAACCACATACAATAAGATTTTAAAAAGTATTGTGCATTGTATTTTTAACTGACTGATAGCTTTATCAGTTTTTAATATATATTTCTGAGACCAAAATCAACGTTTAAAACATATTGTTATCTCTCTTTTGTCAAAGATAATGACAAGGATGACGATATGTTTTATGGATTACAGTCTCAGTAACCCACGGTAAACATATAATGCATTATGAATTGTTAACAGAATAAAACATTTACATTTTAACGTAGTCAAATTGTGGACTTATTCACGAGTATACATGATTCTTGGATGTGCAATGAAAGTAATAAAACATACTAACCTGGAACGCAGTTCCGAGGATAAATAAGCTGGTTATTGTAAACATGATTATCTTTCTAGTTGCGGAGATGTAGTAATAACTGCTGCTGGGATACAATAGTTTTTATATCACAGATCCAGCGGCCCTGACCATTGTCGGACTCTGAACAATCAAGGTGCACACGCCGTAGATTAAAAAACATACAGATGCTAAATTAAGTACTTCACACTCATTACTTTTTTAAATTTAGAACGTATAATGGAAAAGGCTAATTACAATAACTAAAAATTAACTTAAGCCGTGTAATTTTTGATGTATTATTTATATATAATTGCGGATTATATGGTCATTTTTAAAAGAAATGTTTTAATGGACTTACCATTAAAACATTTCGTTTCGCCAATAATATTTTATTGATATTATATTGAAAAAGTCATAAATTTTGCGAGTATTTGAAACAGCAACCACATTGTTATTAGGACTATGCTTTAAATTTTTAATCAAATTTTGATATATATTTATATATAAGTTGTACATGATAAAGAAACTGTCATCATAATTTATGAGAGGACGAATCGGAAGAAAAAAATTAAGTAAAAATATATCTTTGTCGTGTCTATGCTATAACGTTGTTAATCTTTGGTCTAGAATTCAACCTATGACAAAATGTGACCATTTACAACAAATGTCATCTTTTTCAACTGATATTTAATTTAAAATGTTAATATTATTTAAATATTTAGTTAACTAAACTGCACGTGCCCGAAATAGTGGAAAAATTGCAACATCGAGCGATTATTGCGAAACTATGTCCTTCTATTG